TAATGGGGAGTGAAGGAGTAGTTCTCTTTTTCAAAAAAAAAAAGTTGGTGACCCCTGGTCTACTGGCATGAAATGTATCAAAAATAGAATTTACCACTTTACCACATGAAAAAATTCATGACTGAGGCCAGGGCCTCCACACAGGTTCCGGACTCTGGGCGCAGGCTGTGGGGGAGGAGAGCTGTTTTGTGGTGTCGGAGTACTGATACACGGTCGCCTGGGGCTGGTAAGCATGGGAAATGCCTTCCTGGAGCTGGTGCTGGCTCTGATGCGCAGGATACAAAGAGTGGACGTGTGGACTCACTGAAGTGGACTCTTGAGACCCTTGGTTGGAACCCGATTCATCACTGGCTATGAAACGTCTGATCCTGAGGAGACACGACCTCATGCCCTCCCGGTCATCATGCCGCTGCTGGGGGACACTGGGGCGCTGCCCCTGGGTTGACAAAACGGACGTTATTGCAGGCTGATCCATCTCGTCCTTTTTGTCCGACTTCAAGAATCGCACCACACTCTCCAAGATTTCAGCCTTCTCCACTTTTGGGTTGGTTAATTTCTAAAATGAACAAGAAAAGAGACAAACGGTCAAAGTCAGAATCATCTGGAATGCATGGATGCAGTCGGTCCTTTGTCTTATCATGTTTTGAGATGACACACAGCGCACATTGTCTACAATTTCTTTCCAGTCTTTTTTTGAACTTTTTTGTGCAACACATTTTAATTCTGGCATTATTGAAGTACAGTTTTTCCCTATAATTAGGAAAGTTTTAATGTTCAAACTGTTTAATGTTGCAGTTGCTTCCATTCATTTCGAATGTACTTTTTAGAACTAAAACTAAGGAAATTTTTTTTTTTATGAAACTTTGGGCCCACCATGCTTTTGTATGTTTTTTTTAATGTTAATGTTTTTGGGCAGTAATTTTTTTTGAGGTGGTGGTTAGTGTAAAAAGTGTGTGAACCGCTGCATTACAGTCGACAGAGACCCTCAGCCAAAGGACTGAGGCACACAATAATTAGCTCAAAGAAGGCTCCGTGCATTCACTTTTCTTTTTTTTCATTCTTTTTTCATTTATGGTCAAGGGTTTTTCATGCTAATATTGACCATAATTAGAACTACGCGTAGTTTGGTGTTAGACCGTGGCGTGTTTCGATTTACGCACAAATTCGAGTCATGGGGGAGTCCGAGAAACAGAACCCCGTCGACGACAACGACAGGCCGTCGTAAACCAAGAACAGCACGCTATCGTATTACACCGTGTACCTCATTGTGTGTGTTCTCCAGCATTAAAACTCTCAACGTCTCCAAACTTCGGTTGATACGCTCCCGTCTGCGTTTCTCCATCACAGGTTTCGACACCTTGAAAAAAGTCAGTCAAATATCGCTCGAATCAGAAACACTTTTGTTGTTTTTGTTGTTGTTATAGTTCCAAATGTGCAGCTTACCCTCCTCATTCTGTGCCTGTGAGGCTGTGGTGAAGTGCACGCTTTCATACTGACTTGTATAGGCAAAGCTCGCTCTGCACAAATCCAGAAAGTGGATGTCTTGCACCTGGTTTGCAAATATAAGGAGGTCCCTGCCGCGCCCCAAGCACTTACGAGACGAAGCGAGGCCAATTTCATTTACATTTAATCCTCTTTGACGCATGCATGTCCCGCGATACCTCCTTAATTCACATGTAAAATCACGTCTTCAACTGGAAAAGTCTTTCATGTGCAGACAGTTGTTCAACGACATTGCGAAAGACGAGGCACATTTAAATGAGCTCGGGAAAACCCCGGGAATAGGATGCAAGAAAATAAAATAAATACAGTACAACAGCAAATAGGTGTATGTATGATTGATAACAATATCACAGATGAATAGTTTAGTGAATTCGCCTTTTACAGGAGTGGACAATAGCAGGAAACAGAACACAAGAATGATATTAAAATACTGTATTATTACAATCAATTACAAGTATATAATGTTTATGTTCTACTGTGTGAACCTCTTATGGTCTCTGCTGTGTCCATGCTTGCATCCATCAACACACGCGCGCACATGCGCGCGCGCTCGCGAACGCAGACGCACGCACAAACTTTTGCCGCAGCCCAGATCGCCCATTTCACACCCGAACGCCCGCGTGCTCGTGTTGTTTGTTTTCCCTCCAGGAGTGTCGTTGGTAAAGAGTAGCACGAGCACACTTGTGCACCACAACACGTGTCGTGTTTGAATAACGGCCGGATGTTGTATAACATACATTTGATTTGCCCTCGACCAACGTGCATGCATGGTGGCACTTTTGGCAAGTGTGCACACTGCATTTGTGGCCGCCCTGATCCCTATAATAGGCTCAAGTGTGGAGATAACACTAAAGGATGATAGGATCATGGCTATCCCGCGGAGATTAAGCGCCTTTCAGACGCGCTGATACTTCCGCTTCAAATCAAAGAGGGCCGATTAGTGGAGGCCCGAAGACCATGGTAACCATGGCTAACCGAGTATGTCATTCTCATTATCTATCTATCTATCTATCTATCTATCTATCTGTCTGTCTGTCTAAAATACAACTGTATTTATTTTATTACATTTTATCCATTTTGAGTATACTGACAGTACTTAAGGACACAAAAGATGGTTCCCCAGGCTCCTCTAAATAAGGATATATGAAGGACCTTGTATGATCTTGTCATTTTATTATTTTGAGTGAAGCGTGATGTAAAAATTCCAAATATTTATATAAAACAAACCTTACCATTTCCATAATAATTCGTCAGTAAAATACTGGATATCCAACACACACTCACCAACTGGACTGAATCAACAAAACACTGTACCGCAATGTGCTGCATCATGTACTGCAGTATGTATTTGCTTAACTGTATGACTTCACAGGAATATATTTGCACTATATTTATTCCTTCAAAAATTCTGTACGTAGGCCTAAGGTGTATTGTAAATTATCCAATTCAGAGCCTTTACATACCTGTAGAAATACAGTCATGTCAATGCAACATTCTATACTATTTTGTGCTAAACTGCATATCAACTGTGGGTGAACGTTCATACTCAAAAGGCCACATTTGATTTTCAAAAGGGACAAGTGGGGGTGAATCGGGTTAGGGTTAACATGTGTAAAAAATGGTTTTGATGAAGGAAAAAAAACGACAGTTTTTCTCTGTTGCTTCGGCACATGTCTCTAATCAGAATAGAAATTTTCCAAAAAAATAAGAGCATTTTTGAAAATAATTCATACAAAGAGCAAAACATCATGAATGCCCGCAAAATTTCCCCAGTGTGGGACAACTACAGGTTATCTTATCTTAAAAGCCATTCCCTTTGTCAAAATCCTTATAACACCTCTTAGAAGTCAATATCTATGTCATTGAACATGTCAGTGCTTTGGCCTTGAAGTGCAAAACACAAAATCAATCATTAAACACAACTTCAAAAACGCGCACATAAAAAAAATTAACACAACAGCAAATCAAAAACACAAAAAACAAAAACAGAACACAAACGCAAATTTAAAAAAAACTAAAGTCCCAACACTTATTGCAACAGCAAATTAAAAATCATAAAAACAACAACAAAAAAACCTAATCACAACAGCAAATGAAAAAAAACTCACACAAATAACTAAACAAAAGTTACTTTGACATTCCTGGTATATTTAAATCCTGAAATTATGGTATTTAGTGTTGGTGTGCCACCCCAATATTTTAAATGTCCTCATCTAGCCACCCCCCAAAATGGAGTGGGTTGCATGTCGCAGGCAGCCCACACTTTCCTCACCTCTGCTGTATGCTATTTAATTACCGCATGGGCATTACAGTCTGCATTTTGTTGTCTTGTACTTGTGACACTAAAGTTGAGTCTAATCTGTCTGACCTAATTTAATTTCATTTAACATATTCTTTCTGGGGGGGGAGTTAAATGTACACACCCTCTTAAAGAAAGCAAATAGAATGCTCGCTTGATCCTGTGATGGAACTAATTAGTTCTTTTTTTTTAAGTGTGCTTTGTGGACACCAAATGGACCGTTTCCTTCCAATATCGTAAGTCTTTCATGCAGTCACGCCGACCTAAGTTTGTGTGCCCGTGTGTGCGTGTGTGTGTGTGTGTGTGGGGGGGGGGGGGCACCGGGAGACGTGTAGTGAAGGCAACAAGTGGCCGTCTGGCTTGTGAAGTGCAAACAGGAGGTATGAAGTTGACCCCCGAGCAGCACACTTGACACTCGGGTGTAAACATCATCCTCACACTTCATCATCATCTTCATCAGCAGACAAACGTGATCCCCCCCTTTTCCTCTCCTCTGCTCCCATGGACGCAAACTCCATATTCGTAGTTCTTTACAGTTACGTTCAACGCGTCTCTCCAAACGAGAGGCATGTACAGCATCCAATTGCGTTCGGACCCAGGGAAATTCACTCGTATACGTCGTGCTCGTTTGGTCGTGGTCATCACTTCATGCAAAACATCGAAGTCTCACACATCATAAAAAGTTGGGCAGTTTCTCACTTCATTTCTGTTCCCACGAGAAAGAAAGCCCTTTCCCAGCCTCGCACCCCATTGGGGGCATGTGAGGGTGAATACGCCGCATGATTACAATTTTAAATGAATTGTATGCAATTCTATTATTTGATTTTTCGTTTTTCACTTTTTTTTTCTTACCGCTTATTGCAAATTATTTTTGACGGAATGTAAGTAAACACTGACATAAAAAATTGCGTGACCCATTCAAGAAAACTAGCACAAAATAAGACAATTAATTGTTGATGTTATGATGATGTGGCTCAATTAAGCTTTCATTGTTGTGTGACATGAGTTGAGTTTTTCCGATTTCTATTTATAAGGTGTAGTTTTGATTTTGTGATAAGGGGAGCAAAAAATCGGAATCAAGACATTTTGATTATGAGGCGTGGCCACGGACGCCTGCCAGCCAATCAAAGACGACCTGTGGGCGCCTACTTAAGCACCCCTCCTACCATCATCACGATGTTCTTCACTGCATCAGCTCTCACTTCGGGACCAACATGACAAGGAACTTTGCAAAAACGCTCGAGGAGGATAACAAGAGTAGAAAAAGGGTGAGACTTACATGTCATCATTTGCTCAAATAGGATTTACGTAGAAAGTAGCTCGAATATCGGGGCGCCAAGTTGGTGGGTGAGGGGGTGGGGTTGATACAGTTTTGACTTTTGCATGATTTAGCCCTGTTTTCAGTTATTCTAAACATAATAAGTGAAGAGTTCTTGTCTCATTTGAAGAAAATCATAGATTTATTTCACAACATTTCACACTCTCCACGTGGATAAAAAATCAAACACGTTTGTAACGTATTATGTCGTTACAATTCAAATGATGAGCTATTCACAACAATACAACATATGTGCTGGGACCCCACTTCAGCAATTCTTGCGTGGACCAATCCCGTATATGAGAGGACAAAATAATATATAAGTGGCATGAAATATGTTTGTGGCTAAATGTGTGTTTTGTATATTTTTCAATTTAAGGTATACAAATAAAAAAAAAAAAAAAACAAAGAAACACTGGTATGAGACAAAAGGTCAATACTTTTGAATTAATATTTGACAAGGTCAAGCCAAGACGAGCATTGCAATGGTTGTAAGGACTCATATATTGAATATCATTAGATTCAGTGCTGGCCCAGGGCTTTACAGGGCCCCAAGCAGAGTTTGATGTGGGAGGGGGTGGGGAAGGGGTGGGGGGGCGGGGGCTCCCACCTCCCATCAACACAAGTCACTTTGCTTGACTACTCCTGACACAGGTACAGTATACGGGATTTTCATGTTTGAGTCATCCCTCTCATTTTTTTTTTTGTAAATACAGTATGTTTATAAACATCCTCATGCTTTTAGGGGTACACCCCAGACAGTTACTTAATTTCTTTGCGCCTCAGGCAGGTGAATCAATCAATCAATTCATCAATCAGTCAAAACTTTAGAGCGCTTTTCACAGAAATTGTAACTGAAAGTGCTTTACAGATTAAAATCATATTGTGTTGCATTATTTGGAGATTTAATAAAGCCAAAATTTGCGGCATCTACTCATCTTGCTGTCGATACTTATCAATAGATTCTCAAACCGGCTGTGGAAAAGAAGAGAAGAGATCGGATAAACAAAAGCCTTGCAGAGCTCAGAAGCTTGTTGTTGACTAATACTGCGGATCCGGTGAGTTGTCATTATTCTAAAAAAAAAATGTGAGCAGATAGCATCTATTGATAGGAACTGTATTGAAAACTATATCACCAACAGCGTTTGCAGAATCCCAAAATTGAGAAAGCAGAAATTTTGGACTTGACTGTGGAATATCTTCACAAGTGGACAGATGGCAAGAAAATGAGCAATGGTTAGTCACACAATGTGATATATCCTCTAGGCCAGTGTTTCCCAACCTCCATTGAGCTGAAGTGGACTACATACCGGTAGTTTCTTTGAAAATTCTTATGGCACACCACCAAGCAAAATTGAGGCGGAAGAGAGAGACAAGTGGATACACAGATTAATGAAATACCTTCCGCCATGTCGTGGAAGAGCATTTAATTGTTCTGCTTGTCACCATATATCACTACTAAAGATAGATGATGATTTACGCGGCACATTGGTTGGGAATCACTGATCTAGTCATGTTCATGTCAACCTTTGCAACACCTAATGAGGGAACCGCTCCCTCTGTATCCACCAGATGCTCCCAGTGGTGTGGTAAGTTTCGACCCGAGTGGCCCCCCTTGCTTTACCGTTGAGGGTGCAGGTTTTCGGCAGTGTATGTGGCAAATGGCCAGCTATATGCATAAGATGCCGGCGTTGCAGCGAGCCGGCTTAATGGAAGGGCTGAAGCACCATGCGGAGAAGCATCGGGCCGAACAGCAGCCTTCGTTCAACTCCCGCACGACACTGACGGATGCGGCGTCAGCGGAGGTCATTAGCACATCTGAGATTCAAGATTCCCACAACGCTCTGCTCCTCTCGCATTCCCCGCCTCAGCCTCATGGTTGCTCCACTCCGCTCCATTCTCCTCCCACCTCCCCCTGGTTCTCCACATTTTCTTCCTCCTCTCCTCCTTTCCCCTCGTTCGCCTGTCACTTCTCCTTTTCTCCCAGCCTGTCACCTCTGTCGGCCAACACCTCTTTTTCCTCCCTGCCGCACTCCCTTCACGCTCTGCCCGCCCACGTGACTTCCTCCTCCTCCTCGCCCACGTTGGCTCAGCAGGCAGGCCCGACGGTCTTCCACTACCCCTCGGTTACCTCGTCGAGGTCCCCTCCGCTCCCCACTCAGTCACAGAAGTCATCCGCACTCACGTGGAGACCCTGGTTCTGAAGTGTGGCGCCCTCTAGTGATGAGTGACTGGAACCCCAGTATGCCTGCAAATGGACAGTGTAAATACACGATGAAATGACTACTATTTTGGAATTCCCTTGTAAATAAATCTTATTGTTTTTGTTCTTTCGCGATAATGGTGTGATAAAGGTTCCCGGTGAATATGCCTCTTCTTAAACATTTTGTGAGAGCTGCAATGCTCCTCATCAGAAAATGTTACAATGCTCAAAACTCAACCAGATTTTAAGCCTCCCCCCACAAAAAAGTTGCATTATTTTATACATCAAAAACAATAGTTCAAATAGTTAAAATTCAATCGTATAGCAATGCAAAACAACTTTGACAAGAAAAACGTTTAATAAGGTCACCTCAAAGGGCATAGGCTAAAATTTCCTCACAGACAAAAATAACCCTTGGTGACAAATCACCGAAATCAGTCCATCATATATTTGCTAAAAAATCTTGGGGATGATCCAGATGTTTAAAAAAAATTTTTTTAAAACAAAAGTAGGATGAGCCTTTGTGTTCTTTTTGGTCAGTAGTGGTTGGAACTCATGGATTACATGGTTGGAATTTTTGCTCAGTCTCTTCTTAAGTCATGAACACTGACCTCAACTGAGGCGAGGGAGACCTCCATTTTTTTTTTTTGTGTTGTCCTGGGTTCCTTTGTGACCTCCCCGATAAATCGTTGCTCTGGTCTTGGGGTCATTTCCTTCAGACGGTAACTCCTGGTAAGATTTACCCAGTCTCTTCTTAAGTCATGAACACTGACCTCAACTGAGGCGAGGGAGACCTCCAATTTTTTTTTTTTTTTTATGTTGTCCAGGGTTCCTTTGTGACCTCCCCGATAAGTCGTTGCTCTGGTCTTGGGGTCATTTCCTTCAGATGGTAACTCCTGGTAAGATTTACCACTGTTCCATGTTCTTCATTTGTGGAAAATGACTCTCATCGTGGCTGGCTGGAGTCCTAAAACTTTAGTAATGACTTTTGCAACCCTTTCCAGCCTGAAAGATGCCTGATAATGATCCACTTATTTGTAACTATTCCCAAAATATTTATACTGTAAAATGTATTTTCTCAAATGACCATAATAACAATTGAATAATGATGAATTGAGTACTTGATATTCCACAATTTATTGCTATGACTATTATGATATGATGCAAGCGATTATGATGATGATGATGATTATTAGTCGTAGTAGTAGTAGTACTAGTACAAGTCGTAGTAGTAGTAGTAGACTTATGTAATACCATGTAACTATCTGAATTATTATTGTTACTACTGAAATTCCACTGACAAAATGGTCCAAAGAACGGATGGATGCATGGTTCCATCTACTGCATTCAAGAGCACCACAAACGCTTGAAGAAAAACCCTTCTGGAAGAGATTTCATTCTTGGCCAGCAGAGGGCAGCACTGACACACTTCAGTTGCAAAGTCGAGGTGCTGGGCTCCAACTTCGATCCGCTTCTCATCCTTCCAGTCATCCAGCAATCGTCAGCAGTACTTTTCCTCACTATGCTCGTGTGGGTGTGCTGGAGCCTAACCCTACTGACATTGGGTGAGAGGCGGGCTACACCCTGGACCGGTCACCAGTCACTTGCAGGGAAGAACCTGTCAACAACCATTCCCACCTACAGACACTTTTTCTTCAATGAACCAAACAAAGCATATTTTGTTCACTTTAGCTAAACGGGGTACGTATTATCACAGATCATGATTCTTCTGTTCTTTTAATTCCCACCAGAATGTGAATGCTCCTAACACACTTATCAGATGATGATTTATCGAAAAAACTTGCAATCCTTCCATCACTGGACTGGAGGGTCTAACTGGGAAAAAGGAGAATTAATCACATGATAGAACATGTACATTGGATAATGGTTATTCACCCCCCCGCCCCCCACCTCCCTTTGCTCCGAAGAAGCTCCTCTGTTTGAGTCCCATTAGTTATGAGGCGGCCATTGTTCTTTGTCAGCCAAATGAGAGGGCATACACATCATTGAGCAGCTCGACTCTTCACTGCGCCTCATCACATGTTTTGAGTGTATGAAAGCGGAGAAGGCTGCCCACGCTGTGAAGGATGCTTTCCACCGCACGGCACACATAATTAATAGGGAAAAGGGGGAAAAGAGTGACCTGACAATGGTGGAAAAACTCCCTGGCATTTTCTCCTGACACACTGATTAGAGCTGATCCTGTTTCCGCCTCTAATCGCCGTTTTGTTTGCCGTGAATGTGCCTCAGCATTCCTGATTGGGAGAAAACTTGAGATGCGTTGGTGCATGCTGAAGATGTGTGAATTCAATCGGCTTGTGCATTGTACAAATACGAACAGCGATATGCAGTGATGGGAGGCAACAACGTACAGCCACGTACTTCAGTTATTTTTTCGGTGATCTGTATTTGTTTTGTATTATGTTGTATGTTCAGGTTTAATTGTGTTATTTTGCTGGCTCCATTGATATGAGTCAAGTACGATACTGAAAATGCAACTCAAAAAAGCACCAAGAATTACACAATCATTCAACCAAGAGAATGGAGAAAAAAAACAGTAGGCTAGCAACCCCCCCCACCCAAAAAAAAAAAAACCCTGCTTTTTGTATGGTACATCAGCATTTACATTTACATTCAATAAAGCAAAACGTTCTAGTGGGCTTTCGCTTTCTCATTCCACAGCTCTTAAACCGTTTAAAGCTAGCCCAAAAACAAAGGATAATATTACACAGAAGGCAGACCTAACTTTGTTGCCATTTGAAAAAAAAAAAAAAAAAAAACCCGAAACAAAGTTAAAAGTTTCCAGAATGAAAGTATTTTACCTGATCAGCTGCACAGACTGCAGTGCAATACTTTTGTCATAAAAATATTTTTCTTACGATTGCTAGTATATTTTAATGATTGCTATCATTGCCTTCCAATGCAAATTGAGACCCTTACAATTACATTTGTCAAAATGACCAATAAAATCAGCACTTAATGGTTTTATCAGTTGTCTCTTTAAGCAGGCGGGACTTCACATTTTTTTGCAGTGGAGTCATTTTGTTTTATCCGGCAGACGAGGACCACACTCAGATAGTGTGTCAATGCTCAAGAATGTAGATCTGTCAATAAGCATAGCAAAATATCATTTTCCCTCCCTTTCATTTCTCTCTCTCTCTCTCTCTCTCTCTCTCTCTCTCTCTCTGCCAGGCTACTTTGAAGTAAATAGTGAAAGGATCCCAGACTGTAGCAAATTACCTGCGGACTGAAGCATTTTTGACCTAAGTCCTAAGAGAAGGGGCGAGCCACTTTTCCAGGCGGCCCCTTTGCCGTTTTTAATCTGAGGCTGAGGGAAACAGTGGCGCTGACAGAATGATGGGACAGCTGGACATGCTTCCAGGCCGCCAGTAACGGGCCAGAGAGAAGCCAGGAGAAGGGCCACTGCAGATATCTCAGCACCAAACCAACAACTCAACAGAAGACCTGAGGATTGGCCGGACGGACGCGTCTTCTCAGGGATCCCCATCCCAAATCTGGAATAATCACGATGTGTTGCTCTCATTTTGGATTTTCAACATTATCTATTTAGATATGAAATGAAGACATCATCAGGGAGTAATCAATATGTGTCCATATGTCATATGGATGGTGGTTGTTTCATGAAAATGAGAACAGGGACACAATACGAGTCATTACATCATCGTTAAGAAACTTCCATTGTGTATTAGAAACATTTAACACTTTGGGATCCATGAAGAGTTTTGCTTATCCACAAGGAATGTTTCATTGTTTCTGTGTTAAGCAATGATGAATTGACATGTAGGCAGCAGGTGGTTAACATGTCTACCTAACCATCAGGTGGTTCAGGTTCAAATCCTGGCTCAGGCCCTCCTGTGAGGAGTCTGCATTTTCTTTCTGTTACTTGCATGGGTTTTTACACTTCTGAAGAATGGTGAAAAGTTTTATGTGAGACACTTTGTGCCTGTGACACAGTCCTGAAACCTCAACAGGGTTTGCTTGCCATGTAGATTTTTTTAGATTAAGTCTTTAGGCTCTCCTTGATTAACAAAGTACTGAAAAAAGGACAATTTGATTTATGATTATGTCCGATTACTTTTGCTCACTTAAAAAAGGTGGAGGTGGAGGAGGCATTTATATAATGTTTTGTACATCCTACATCGTTCACCTGATTTGGATGTAAATACCCTCAAATTCAAGCTCAGAGAATGAACTTAAAGCATGTGGCGATTTTTTTCATTTCAAATCCATTGTGGTGTTGTACAGAGCTGGAATGCTGAAAATTGTCTCGACATTTATGGCCTTGACTGTAGGCTGTATGTGACAACTAGAGAACAATATTGCTGAAAAATGCTGCTGATGTATTGACATTAGAAGGGAACATTATTTTTATATTAGCTAGGAAGACTTTATATTTTTATTGCCTCCAGCACTTTCTGTTTTAAGGGGCCTGTTCTATTTTGTCACTACAATGTTTAATTGCAAATTGTAAAATAAAGCATCCTTTCAAGTTAGCGCACACAGCCAAGCCAGAACATTCCTGTTGCGTGTGCGACTACGCATGGCCAAGATGGCCCAGTGGTGTAACGTGCCAGTCTCAAGGGATTCTGCTCCCCAAAGCAAGGCTACGGTTAACCGTCATTACCTTTTCAAAGGTTTAACATTTGACACATAAATACACCCCACCAGCCCCTTTAACAACCGTAAAATGAACTGCAATGTAAGTACGGAAGTAGCACACCTTGACTACTAGTCATTACAATATACTGTACTTGCTTCACAAAGTACTTAATTGTATAGTGAATGCTTAAAGACGCATAGTTATTCATCTCCTTGTCAGATTTTAGTCTGAGCCCGTGCTATTGCGCCTCTTTCAACATAACGACCTGTGAAGAAATCTTCCAGCAGTTCTCCGATGCTCTCTCATGGAATGTGAACAAAAACAGGAAGCATGAATGAAAACAATGACAAACTTAAATCCCATTTTCGAGATAGGTTGTCCTCACTTAGGGTGAGAGGCGAGGTACACTCTAGTCTGGTCACCAATCAATCACAGGACACATACAGACAAACAACCATTCACGCTCACATTCACATCTAAGGATAATTCAGAGCCTCTAATGAACCTAAC